GATTTTTAATCAATTTTTAGTGTTTTTTCCGTCTTTTATATTTTATTAGTAACTACAATGGTTCGCCAGTGCGTGATCTGTAAAAAAATTGCCTATTCTAACCCTGGATTGGTATTTCGACGGTACGTGAGGTTATGTTTTTTTCAGCCCAAGCAGTGGTGTGGTTAATTGTATATTTAGAGGTCCTAATTTTCCATGATCTAGGAAAACCGCACGCCTCTGATAAAGACGTTCGGGGAAATGGAGGGGCAGGTTACAGCGATGCCATTTTTTAAGCCCATCTTTTTCCTACTTATGCATAACTCTGACGGTATGTATGATTGTAAACAAATAATGATTTTTGAATGAGATGTTCTGACTCCTCTTTTATTATATGTCTATGTAGGAAATGGTCCAGAGCCCCAATGCGGCCTGATGGAAAGCCACGTAAGAAACGAATTAAGCAAATGGGGGAAAAACCAATTCTACTCCTGTCCAGTGAAATATTATCTAGAGGCGATAGGAAACTTCGGCCTTTCCTATTGCAGAAGACCACAATTGCACATTTTGTGATTCCGCAGAACATTTACACTGTTCAACTTTGGACAAGTGTCAGTTACCTCAAAGGGGTATACCGCGAACTTCACATGCAGTGGGCCTGCTTTCCCCCAAGAAAATAGCTTCCTTAGGAAGAAGCCTCAATTTCTTGGTTACAAACTGAGATGTAGAGTCATTCGCAAGATATCTGCGAAGGTATAGCAGTTCCGAGAGGCTGTAGTAGCCAAAACGACTCCGTCTCATAGCCAGTGTTGCCAAAAAACTCAAATGAGTCCAACAAGGGTGACATTCTACCTACGTGCCTTTATATCATACTCACTTGGACTTCAATAGGAAGAAAGAAAAGAGGAAGACCAAGAAATAGTTATATGGATGAGAGATGGCATCAATAAGGAGATCAGAGAAAGATAAAGGGATAAATAAGGACCCAAGGAATAATAGGCAGCTCTCGAAGAGTTGATATCAAAGTTTTTGAAGAATTTTAAATGAGAGGAGTTTATGCGGATACTAAATAGTTACATGGACAAGGCTCATTGGGAAAAACCGCAATGATTGTAATGATTTCAAATATGTTTGAGGAAAGCGAGTGGGCCTAAATTTTCAAAATATCTACATAATGCACCCCACCCTAATTTCAAATATCTAACGGAATGTCTAAATTGAACTGAATATTCAGTTCAATGGTAACAGCTTGGGGAAAAGATCGGAATAGGTCTAAATCCTAAAGCATTGAACGCTGAATTAATGTTAAAATCTAATTTAGCCATGGTATGCAAGAAAATTTTTCCGACACGGATAAAATATTGTTTAAGATGTTTTTCGAAGGTGAAATATGTTATGTAAACCCATCAAACCCCTTTCTATGAATTTAGCAATACAACATAGTTTTAAATAACAACTTGTGACAATTTGATATTTTTGATAAAATGACAACTGTAAGTATCGCCAAAAACATTAGGATATTTTTTTTTTCTATTTACGTTTTGTATTCTTTAGTTAAATTTATTATTATCTCGTTTATTGAACGCTTTTATGATTATACTTATTCGTTCAAGCCAGAGACTGAATCTCATTCAAAAATTGTCAATTGCAAAAACTCCATCGAATAAGGCAGCATCTGTTCACACACTCGCCTACGAAAAATAAATTTGAGAGTGTCGTGTTTCCGAAACGGTTTTGTATCGAGTTTTATGCAAATTGGCATACGAAGTTGGAAATGAATGTTATTTAGTTTAACATGTCACACGTCGCTGCCTTCATTTGCTGACTGTATATCTATACGCAAGTGAAACAAGATTGTTGGGACTTCTCAAGGGAGAATATCGAGATTGGGGGCTTCCTTATTTTGCCAGCTAAGGTTGACGTTTGATGTAATGTTTAATTTGAATTCGGGAGTGGATTAATAATGAAGCTGGGATTTGTTGATGTTGATGATAATGTATAGCCTGACAGAGTTTTTGAAAGACGAAATTTCTACCTACATACATACATGAAACCTAATTTAAATATTGGTGTACTATCTATATACTTACCTATCTTTTTTCGGGTACATATACACCAAAATACAAATTTTCTCAGAATGTTTGTGGTATTTGAAATGGGTTACTACCTACACGGACTCAGATCTTCGTTCTTAGCGAGTCTATTTGACCTATCTTATTATTAAACTTCAATTAGATACCTTGTCACACTCCTCGGTCGAAAAAGAAGCTTGCGCTAGAGTTGAATTCCTCAATAAGTGACGTAATTTTCAAGAAACACAAGACATAAGTAGAACTAGGAATAGAAAGATTCCTAGATGGCGTTTGTAGCTTTTTTTCTAGAAAACTCCAAAGCACGGTAGCTAATAATTGTCTGGATAATTATCTTCTAGGATTTTCTTCAACGCTCAATCGTTTTGCTATTCGATAGATTATTCCATTCTCGAAAATTCTACTCAGGCAGGGGTCGATTAATATATACGAAAGGTAGGTTTAAGCATTAAGCGCTATCTTTGGTACCTTCCTAGTCTATTGAGCCCTAGTGGGTTGGGATTTCGTATTTTTGACGCCATCTGAGGGAATCCTCATGCGGTATTGCCAGAATGTGTACAATCTTTCCATTCTAGGACCTGGAGGTAACTTAGCACTTCGCATGATTTATAACAATATTGTTGCTGACACTGTCTCGAGGGTTTGTGGATCCCGTAGAAAGAAAACGCTCTGCGATTTACACAAAGCTTTGTGTAATCCTTGAAGTTAGAATGGTACATTCGATCCAATTTTTAAATATGCCTTCTTCTGTGAAATATTATGAAACGATATATACAGTTTAACTCAGAGTAAATTTCCCTTTTCGAAGGCGCCCTATACATCAAACCTAATATTTGTAACGCTGGCAATTTGCGGCGACTGCGTGGGGACTATCAGTAAACAGGGAGCAGTGGTCGAACGAGCAACGGACGTTTATGGTCGAGGCGTTTTTTTAAATAAAACAAAAAGGGAGTCACTCTGAGTCACCCTATATGATAGATTTACATGATACGTTTGCCCTGTTTCGGCACTCCGATGTCGGAAGTTATTCTCTTTTAGAGCATCATCCTGTAGAATTTATTATTAATGAGCTCTATGAAATACTAGTATCTGATGTAACAACAGACATTTCAGAGCATCCATTAAATGGTCTCATCGCCCTTACCGTCAAATCACCTCTATGACCGGCAGAAAAATCATTCGACTCAAAATCTTCATACGGCTCCGGCCTAATTATCGATTCTGCAATCCGCCAAGTTCTAGTTGTCAGATGTGAGTTTTGAGAAGGCTGCATTCCTAATCTGAATTATATTGAACTCCTGATTGGCACAAATTGTAGCCAAAACATTTTTCTTTAAAAAGGTAATCTCATACAAATCAATTCTGAGAAAATGGATGGAGCAGCACTTTCTGCTTTGGGGCGCTCGTTTGTGTTATGTTATTATGGTTATATCTGCCATAATCTTAAATATTATAGCTCAGTTCAAGTTAGTGCGACACAAACAAACAAACCTATTATGTGGCCAGATTAGATTATGTATAGGTGTGTTTACGTAATGGACCTCTCCACACTACGACCTAAATAAGTCTATTGTGTTTCCCTTTTCTAGTAGGTTCCCAATTTAAGGGTCTTCGCGAATCTCACAATTTTCCTGGTATTTGGTTCCTTCAACATCCGCATCAATAATATATGTCTGCTCCAGATGAATAAGTCTTCTGTGACATAACGCTTCGCTTTTGTATATATGTTCGGCAGAATCGGATGCTTCTCTGTAGAAGCGGCAAAGGTCTAATTTAGCTTTACCCATCTTTTTTTAGGTAGTAGCCAGGACCGCTGAGAAGGCCCGTTATGATTCTCAAATCTGATTTGCTGAGTTCAAGTACTTCCTTTGCCTTTATCGAGATGAATTGCTTCACCTGTCTTGAAGTCCTTGAATCTTGTTCCAGTGGGAGGGTTGTTTGTACTTTTTTCCATTTTCTGAGTTCGGTTCTTACATGGGGGTTTTTGTCAGGCCAAATAAGGCTTACGGACTGAAGAATGGTGACGCGGCACCTTCTCCTGCAAGCCGGCCCGCCATTTTATTTCCTCCTATATTTTAGTGCCCTGGTACCCATTAGAGAGTGACTTATGCGGTTCGCCATTTGCTTTAGGAGTTTTGTTGACAGTCCCATGCTAGTCTTTAAGTGCTTCCTGACTGTCGAAATTGATAAAGATTGTTGTATTTCGAAGGTCCGTTTCAAGACAGTTTCTGGCACAAAGTTTTACTGATGCATACGTTTCCGCTTGGAATATAGTGGGGTTTTTTCCTAAGGCTGCTGCAATTTGGGCAATATGCGCCCACTCAGACCCCTTCTTCTGTTTTTGATCCATCTGAGTACCAGATGGATGAACCGTTTGAGAATGTTTGTACGATTTTTTCACTTTTGCGGGCTCATTCTGCCGTCACAAATGGTCAAATTTGTATCTCGTTGCCCAACTTTTAACTTTTGTTAATTCTCGCAGCCCTAAATAACATATTTCTCCTTTTAAATTATACCTCTCTAAAGCCTCTAATCCAGTGATAAGATAAACCTGTCCAAATAAAACAAACTCTATAATATGTGAGCCTAAAAGCAGGATAATATTTCTCCCCAGCTAATCCCAAGACACGTAAAACTCATTCCGCCCTGGGTCACTTTTTAACGGGAGAAAAACATAGCAATTTAAAGCGACAAAAATTGCTTTTCCTATGAGATTACATTATTGTGCCATGTGTTTTCGCATGGATGGTTTTACGAATAAGGTTAAACAACGAAATCAAATAAATTTATCTCATACCAAGTTGTTGTTGATGGTTTTAACCAATATTAACTTATCAAAATTCGGTTTTCTGACTTACCACAAATGAAACGATTGATATGATGAGTCAAATTTACTTTACATAAACAACATTATTTTATTTAAAAATGTGCTTCAGAGAGCTGAACATGAATATCAGCTTCTTATTGTTTTTAATATTTTGTCAACAGCTTATAGCTCAAAGTAGCTCGAAATCGATTCCAGATGGATATTATCACAGTGATGCTATTGTCACAAAATGGACTCCAAGTAAAAATGTTGAAAATGTATCTGTTTCTCCAAATGAACAGCAATTGAATACAACGAATGGACATGGATGGATGGTAAGAAATGATCAAAATAAAACTGATTTTTAACAATATGGCATTATTACGTGCTTTTAGAGGCAAACTCTCTTGAAATTTGGTCAAGTCGCTTCGAAAATTGGCAACGCAATGGGATCTCACACTAGTAAAATAACAGCAGCTCTGGACAAAATATGTGAAGTAATTAAAACAGTCGTTCCTCTATTGGCTGCTGTGTGTCACGTGGGCGAATTTGGGTTTTGTTCAGCTACAGATGAAGCTCCTATTAGGCTTTCGGAAGCTATGAATCCGAGTACTTTGGATTTGGATAGTTTGGATAAATAGTAACTGAGTGGTAGCTGTTAATTTAAAAAAAAAAAACTATTTCCTTTATGTTGTATGGGCGAATTGAATAAATAATTTTTAAGATTGATGATTCTCCATATTGTATGTTTGTTACATTTGCAAATAAACCTCAAACAGACTTATAATAAAAAGTATATATTTAATATTAGTAATATTCATAATGGGTGATAATTTGTAAGCTATTCCTTAGGAACGTCCATATCCTGGTCTTGATGTTTGCTTATGGAATAATTTCTGAAAAATAAAACAAGATGAATATGAGAAACTTTTTTAAAATCTAGAAAACTGTAGATATGCAAGTTCCATGAGAAGTGAGAAGTCTAATTTGTACTCCCAATCCAGATTCTTTTTTTTTTCGAAATAGTTAAGAAATACTGCAAAAAAACACGTCAATCTTCAATGGAGAACAGGCTTTTCCTCACGCTATGCGAAAGTCTTCGCACACCCGTCAGCCGCGTGCAAAACTTTTTTCTAGAAACAACTCTTTATAATAATTAGCCTAGCTCTCAAATTCCTAATTTGTTTTCAAGACCATTAACTTTCTTGCCTTATCTTTGTAATTTCGAAGCAATTGTAGAAACAACTATTTACATACCATATGGGAGGAACATAGTGCTTTTCCTCCCGCACGACGCGATGCGGAGGGCATAATTATCCAAAGAAGTAATAAGGAATATACGTTAGAAACTACCTTAGACTGAGCAGGTAAAGCGCTGTCCTACGGACATAAGGAGTAGGAACGCGCAATTCTGCTATGGAACCAAAGTGAAGCCAGTTTTTGGCAGGTGTTTGACACCAAATGACAGGTAAAGCATTGCATTGCCTACATATACAGTGTGTCCGAAATTCGAGTCTCTACATGGGGATTACGCTTATTATGAGAGATACAGGGTGGCTCAAATTAGGAAAGTTTTAGGGAATTTATTGATCATTTATATCCTGTTGTTAAATTTGCTTCAAAGTTTTCTGTTTCCTAGAAATCCGAGAAAAACTGAAAATAGCCAATTTTGTTTTTGTCAATAATTCATAAACCGTTAACTTTAGATTTTTCTAACTTTAACATTATTAAGACACTTTTTTGAGACGGATATTTTCGTGATTTGGAAACATTCCGATCGTCGTTTGTTTTCGAGTTATTAACCAAAACTTTCTTATTTCTTATGGCGGCCATCTTCGATTTCAACAAAATAATATTCTGCGAAAAAAATCCTTTAAAATGATGTATTATAAGCTATGAAAACGTTTTGCAAGTCCTTCAAATAAAACTCGAATTAAAGAATATTTTATTAAAATAATAATACAAGATCGAATAGACTCTCAAAGACCGAAAATCTGAGAGTGCAAATTCGTCCTTCACGCAAAAACACGAATTGTATCTGGAATATCCAAATTGGTATAATTTTTCCCGACGCGTAAAACCGAAAGAAGAAAGGAGGAAAAGCTGTAATTCATGTTGTTTACATACAAAAAAAAAAAATATGTGGAATACCTTACCTACTTATTTTTTCTTTATCCAGTAAAATTGCCAGAAGACTTCAAAAATACCGATTCTAGGTATTAAATCATACTTATTTAGTTTTATTCTCATAACTATGAGCATTGTTGCCAAATTTAGCAAAATATCGGTTCCAACTGTAATTTTAAAGGACTTGCAAAACGTTTTCATAGCTTGTAATACATCATTTTAAAGGATTTTTTTCGCAGAATATTATTTTGTTGAAATCAAAGATGGCCGCCATAAGAAATGAGAAAGTTTTGGTTAATAACTCGAAAACAAAAGACGATCGGAATGTTTCCAAATCACGAAAATATCCGTCTCAAAAAAGTGTCTCAAAAATGTTAAAGTTAGAAAAGTCTAAAGTTAACGGTTTATGAATTATTGACAAAAAACAAAATTGGCTATTTTCAGTTTTTCTCGGATTTCTAGGAAACAGAAAACTTTGAAGCAAATTTAACGACAGGATATAAATGAGCAATACATTCCCTAAAACTTTCCTGATTTGAGCCACCCTGTATCTCTCATAATAAGCGAAATCCCCAAGTAGAGACTCGAATTTCGGACACACTGTATACCGCCTTTTTTTTGGTGCTAAAATACCTGGAAAAAAACGGATTCATTTTCCAACTCCATGTTACTACTTCTTTACCTTTACCTGCTCTAAGGAAAGTACCCTTTCTCAAAATACAATATAGATAGTTTTAAAAATAATTTTTTATTGAGACGGCTATTTTCGCATTCTATCTTCCATTATCGAATAGTTATTTTTTTAACAAGTGCGGAAAGTGATACTTTCCCGCACGCGACTGCCGTTGACCCGAACGACGCGAAGCGGAGTTCGGGCAAGCAGTCGAGTGCGGGAAAGACACTTTCCGCATGAGTTAGGAACATTATTTTTTCTACGAGCGCGTTCAAATATAAAAACAAAAACTAAGTAAATTCGAAGCGATATATTATTAAAGAAATCGTTTAATTATAAAATTACTTATTTTTATATTTTTACGTTTACTTTCAAGAATGATTGAAAAAAATAATGTATTTATTCGATTTGATGTTACAATAAACAAAATTTCTAAGGTAAAAAAACTGCCCCGCCTCAAAGGAACTAAAAAGTCAAACAATGTCAAAAAAAATTATAATTTTTTTTAAATATTCACAAATTAGATTAATATGGATTAAAATAGGAATATTTCAAATAGTTTATGAGCGCATAAATTAGTATATATAGCAAAAATGTATGCAGACAAAATTGATAAAATGTTTGATTAATTAACAAAACTGACACTTCCTCTGAACGCCACTTTCCCGCACTAGTGCGGGAAAAACAAATTCGCGCACTAGTGCGGGAAAGTGACATTTTCGGAACCAAGATGCGTGCGGGAAAGTGATGAAAAATGCACGCTCGTAGAAAAATACTTTTTTTTCATTATTTCAATTTTTACCTTTCTAACTAACTTTGGTTTCTAACTAACATTGTGCATTTCTTATTAACATTTTACGAAAACTACTGAAAACGAAAACATGTGAGTGATGTAGCACCAAATATTTTTCAAAAATTCACTCAAGATCTGAAAGGCCTAACAACATTGCCTAAACTAGAAAAAAAATAAGCTACAAACTAAGAAAAAAAAACGATGTTTTCGGGAAAACGTCTGATTTAAAAAAATGCAAAAAGTAAGTTTTGAGTTCAATATAGATATCTTACCTTAAACCAATCAATGATTCCTTGTTTCTGCTTTTCAAAAAGTATACAATCACCATATGCGATAAACATTGCGAAAATTACCATAAAAATGAAAAACAGCGATAGTAATTTCATTTTGACAAAAAAATATATGTTTGGTGCTTATAGCTGCAGAACTATAATAAGTTACCAAAAATAGCATTTTTCATATTTATATGTTTTTCCTATATTTACTTTCAACTGCTTATCTTCTTGGCAAATATAGCTGTAGTTTTAAAGCCTATTTCATGAAAAGATATAGTTTTAATGTTGTTCGATACACCCAGGTTATGAAATGCGAAATTTTACTGTCCAAATAAACTGATCTCATATTTTGTCCGCGAATGTTTTAATAAGTTGAATGAGTAATAAACCTATTAGTTCTATCTACTATAGAATAAGTATGTAGGTATGTAGTTATTTAATGAATGATAAAAGAATTAATATCTTAATTTTAACAAAAGGTTGAAGAAATTTATAAGGTCCAGCTTCCAGTATCTCGGACCATCACAAAAATCAATTAATAGTCTTGCCTGGAAATAGAACCAATCAACTTGAAGTTAAGATGGTAAACTTAGGAAATTTCATATTCTTTAATGGTATGTACGTATAGTATTTTCCTGTCCATGTCGATAAATGGGCTGAGTGACTCCTAGGAAATTCCTTCATTGCTCTGCTGGTTGTCGTTGACGGTGGTCCTGAATATTTTCGAATTGTTGATGTGGCTGGGACTGTCCAGGATCAAGAGTCGGATAGGAATGTTTGGTTTCTGGAATCTATATATTTCACGAGAATATTTCAAGACTATAACATTTTTGTTTTTTTTTTTTAGTTACTCCATTTCCGAAAACGACAACGATTCTCATCAATACGTCATATATTACCATTTAAATTGTATTCTATGAGGTGTTGCAGTTTCTCCATGGCTACCCACCTCAAGCTCTAACATACATTAAGACTTTATCCATGACATAGTCTTGACAAAGGATCTGCTTTGCTAGATTTTTCGAATTTGTACTTAACAGTAAGTTTGATGTGGATATTTCTTTACATTTCACGTTTTCATTCAAATTAAACTTTCGTACATAGGAAGATTTGTTGGTAAAACATATACTATGATACCTTGAGCCACGTATTGTTTGTGAAGTACGATAGTCACCATATGCCTAGAAAAAAAAAAGTTGATGAAGGCTTATCAAGTAAAAAATGTTTACTTATATGATTTGAAGAATATCATGGTAGTTTCCTCGATTAGGTACACCTTGATTTGCAGTATGACTAAACAATAAGAAAGGAACCGAATAGGCCAGTCATTAGGTATATTCGAGCATGCAAGAGGTTGCGGAGTTTTGAAACTTGGCAGGAACGTAGACTTAGAGGTCCTTAAGATGCACTTAAATTTGCGACCTCATGCGACCGCCGCTCGCGCCGCCATCTTGAAAAAATGGCGGTCAAAATCAGCTTTTGGCTTATAAGTTGGTTCCTGTAAGTTTTAAGGAAAAAAGTTTCAAGAAGAAGTTTAAAGAGAATAAAATTTGATACAAAATAGCTATTTAAACTTTTTTGATCAGACGAATAGTTTCCGAATTACAGGACCGAACATTAGCATGAATTTTTCAAAATCTCATATAAGCTGTATTTACATGTTATTTTTTACACATTATGTATAATTCAAACTACCTAAAGTTAAATAATGGAAACATAGGTTATCAACCCGTTTCCACACCACCCAGGAGGTAGAGCTGACCGGCGCGTTTTTTTTACCGTGGTATCCCCAGCGTAGGCCGATTACACAATTCAAACACGTTCGCTGCGACCTATTAAAATTGAAACTTGACTTGGTGACTCATGTGATTTTTTTGAATTTCTTGCTTCTACTACGTTCAAATCCGACAGAAAAATAGATAAAACTGTTATCCCTTCCCAAAAAATCAAACTGGATCATATATAACAGGTTAACTCGTTATTCAGGTTTCCTGTTTCCCCCTTCATACTCGATACGAGACGGATCAAAGACGAACTAAAATAATTTTTCACATCCATAGACCTCGTGTGGTGTGCTAACGGGTATTGAAATTCTGGTGTCTCACGGTAGCAGAAACGATTTTGGTAGCTTTGTCGTTAATCAGCAGCGAACGGGTTAATTTAATGCACTTTTTTGTCGCATTGTATCGAGATGTTCCTGTTTTTTTTTGTTCAGTACTTACGTATTTGTCAAGTCTTGTTTGTCTTCCGTCTCCTCCAAAGCCCACCCCAACGAATCGAATTCATTACCAGCATCGTTTGGTTAGTCTTCAGAATCGGAATCAAGTATCAACTGGGGAATGTTTTCACATGAACCGCCGTTACAATATAAACACAGCACTGAGCATTTTAATCCTGTTTTCCGACATCGACACGCTCCTGCACAGCCTTTTCTACATTTGCAGGACATCGATTTCGAAATAGCGCATGGAGCTGCTTCTGACGAAACCCGAAGAGCATCGAGCCCGTTTGCCGTTTTCCGCCAACCATATTGCTCAGGATCTAATTCTTTGCCAGACCACATCGCAACTTGATGATAAACTCGCAAACAGTGCTGCCTTGCAGCATCTCTTGTAGGTGGCAGAGACGCAAGATTAAATTTTTTCTTAGACGCAGACTTCGTGAAATGCTGGTATCGAAGTGAATCCAATGTGTTCTTTTCAAACGATCCACCATATAGTGCCAATGAAAACACTTCTCCAGCTGCGGCAAAAGCACTCACATCTGCTTCGAGCTCTTAGAAGATTGCTATAGTCTCAAGCAATGAGTCGTTTCTATCCAGCAGATTGGTTCGTCTTTGATCCGTGTTGTATCGAGTATGAAGGGGGAAACCCAAATAACGAGTTAACCTGTTATATATGATCCAGTTGGATTTATTGGGGTGGGGATAGCAGTTTTATCTATGTTTCTGTCGGATTTGAACTTAGTAGAAGCAAAAAATTCAAAAAAAATCACATCAGCCACCGGGTCAAGTTTCAATTTTAATATACAGCGAATGTGTTTGAATTGTGGAATAGGCCTACGCTGGGGATACCACGTTAAAAAAAGACGCGCCGGTCAGCTCTACCTCCTGGGTGGTGTGGAAACGAGTCGATAACCTATGTTTTCATTATTTAACTTTAGGTAGTTTGAACCATACATAATGTGTAAAAAAATAACATGTAAATAGAGCTTATACGAGATTTTGAAAAATTTATGCTAATATTCGGTCCTGTAGCTCGAAAACTGTTCGCCTGATCAAAAAAGTTCAAATAGCTATTTTGTAGAAAATTTTATCCTCTTGAACTTTTTCTTGAACTTTTTTTCCCTAAAACTTACAGGAACCAACTTATAAGCCAAAAACTGATTTTGACCGTCATTTTTTCAAGATGGCGGCGCGAGCGGCGGTCGCATGAGGTCGCAAACTTGAGTGCATGTTAAGTACCTATAAGTCTACCTTCCTGCCAAGTTTCAAAACTCCGCGACTTTTTGCACTAACACTAATTTTTTATGTATCTAATGACTGGCCTATAAGTATGTATTGCAAAATAGCCAAAGCCTCATGCTTTTTCTTTTTTACTCGTGCAAATATGGTATTCTGATAAAAACGTAGAAATAATCGAAATTAAAATTTAAGTATTATATTATATATGAAAATTAAGAATCTAGTGACTATCAACCACGTCCATTTAGTAATAAATAAATAATAATTGCGCGAAAACCTATGCAAATGAAAAATAAAATAAAAATCCAATATTTTGTGTGCTTTTCTAAAATTCATTATTCGTTGAAAACGAGGCTTGACGCCATATTCCATGAACAGGTCCTATATTATTTTTATTATTACCTATGTATTTAGTTGTGTGGTGAACGATATATCATAGCCCAAACAACAATGTATATCTATTGAATATTTATCTATTTAAACAATAGTAAAATAACGGCGATAACGCCTTAGGCTAACACTGATATCCTTGCTTCGAAAATAAACCCAATGGTTACTCACCGAAAATTTAATATTTCAATATCAGCTAATCAAGGTAAAGTAAAGGGGACTTTTTGGGATTCCTTTTAAAGTGACGTATGGATTATTTTAATTGCCAGAAAAAATTGTACCTATGAACTACTTCGAATAAATAATACTCAAAATGATGTTGCACAACAGCCTATTATTTTCCAAAATTCAAAAGAATGTAGGTACAGGAATAGGTACCTTCTGATAGGATTCATAGAAATAATCAATGACAGTAGAAACTTACAATCTCTGTTCAATGTTTTTTGAAGAGGTAATTTGTCAAAATTAGAACAATTCAGTTGTGTGTTATTATCCCATGATTCCCATGAGTCGCGTAGAATATACTTACAGGGGTTATTTTATTTCAAATATTAAGAAAAATTGTACTTATAAATAAAAAGGTTCCAAATTTTTCAGTTTTCTCTTTCCCTAGTATTTATTTGTTTTTCCCTCTTCCAGATTGATGATATAAGGTTTAAATAATGTTTTGCTTTATATTAAGAAAAATACCTATATATTTTTTTTCATATTGATAATGTTAGGTATTTCAGCTTTAGCTGATGAAGTTGAGTTTCTGTTGATGTCTACTGTCTAAATATCAATTTTCAGGAAAAATAATATTTGAACCTGAAATATTGTTCACCGAGAGGATCAGAAGCCAAAGCTAGTGGAAAAATAAAGCAAAAACGTTCAAAAACTTGAGATAACTGAATATAAGAAAAAAAGTAGGACCTTTTTTAGTGCTTTTATTTTATTGTGATATGGAGATCCATGCTAACAAATATTTGTTCATGTATATTTTCAACGGTTTTATTATTCTATGTAGCAATGCCATAATATGTATAATAACTATTTCGGTAAAATATTATGGATTTATATCCGCATTCTTCTCTCGCAAGTTGATTGATTGTGATATTTCGTCCATTTTCTTCTGCAATGAGAGATCATTCATTTTCATCCCTATCATCTGAAAATATATCCGATTGATTTTTTTTTTATTAAAAAAAAACATAATGTCATAGAAACTATCACCTGCAATACGCGCATAAAAGGGCTTTTTTCCAATCTGAACCTTCCCAATCGTCAAAAAAACAACTTTATCCCATGTCCAAGGCGCTATGACCAAATATGAGCTGAAGTGAAAAATTCAAATTCTAACAGTAAAAGTAAATGATATGATTGACTACTTTTTTTGTGGTATGGGACACACTTCTGAAATTAAATTTGCTTGTAAATAAAATAAAGATCTACCTATACCGGTAAGTATATCGTAGACATAAGAAAGGGAAAACCCATAAGTCTTCATTTTTAGTCTTGGAATATAAAAAGTACCGTGCTACCTACGCGTAAACCTATAATAATTCTCAGATGCAAGTTCGAAAGATATAAAGGCAATGAGACTTGATTTGATTGTATCATTGATTATCAGTTCTCTGCCACGTGAATTACGACAAAAAAATATTCAAAATGAAAATTTTCACCATTTTTTTAATAACTCTTGTTGCTTTGTGCGTTGCTTTTGGTACTGCTGAAGCTGGATGGCTTAAGAAGCAATTAAAGAAAGCTGTAAGTAAATATTTACATAATAATTATATTAATATTTGTATTGAGTGGACAGGAAGTTTTAATTAAAGTAAATAATATTTTATTTTTAATAAAGCCATCTGTGTTTTTGTAGGAAAAAGGAGTAAGAAGAGTCAGGGATAGAGCCCGTGAAAATCTGGATGTAGTAGCTGGATACACAGGAGTGGCAGCTCAAGCTGGTCTGTTTCCGGGAAAATGAAAAATGGCATAAAAACCTATCAGAGTATTTTAAACTATTACTAATACTTTCATTATTACCATAATTATTATTGATTAAATGTTTTATTTAAAAATCTGACTTGTAATTTCTGTCCAACCTGCTTACTCAAAAAAAAAAAACATTATACATAGGGGACAGTCGGGTATTGGTGCGCACCTAAGCCACTCACCATATTTCGGAAAATTTAAAAGGTCAGGATATTTTTCTGCGATGCATATCGATAGTTTGATATATAAGCTACTATATTCCCATGTCAAAACGGTACAGTTTGAATTAGGAAAATGACAACAGCCGATTTTCTAAAAAGTTGCATTGCGCACAATTACCATACTGAAGCGGTTAATGGTGCGCATAGGTATGGTAATCGTGCGCACGCTAAGCAGTTGTAATGTATTGATACTTAAATGCATATATAATGACAAAAATTGTTGCTAAAGCAAAAAGGAATATGAAAGAAAAATTAACTTTCTTAGGTGCTAGCTGACGTCCCACACATAATCTCAATGACATGTTTGTCCCCGTATCGAAAGTTACGTTATGTCATTGGTGAGAAGCTAGCGCCGGTGTCTTAAATTAGACTATCCAGGTTGCTGGCAAACTTAAATTAAAATGTCCGCCAAGAGGCACACAAACCCATTGTTTGCTTGTCAAAGTCACGTGTTTAGGATAGACTAGCTTTGAAACGATTTGTTTGTCCCCCCAACGGAAGTGAGGTTATGTGTGTGACGTCAGCTAGTGCCTAATTGCGTTTCTCATTGAATCTGTGTTCCATGACGCCTTTGTGGATTTGCGTGTATATTTGGACATCTTAAATAAAAATAAATTGAATTTGTGGGTTATGTATAGATTTAAATAAAGTCGTCTAATAGTGCACACGTCTGGTAATGGTGCGCACCTGCGCACCATTAGACGACTTGGCATTTTTATTTATTAGATTAAAAACAAAATAAAAATTAAACAAATCTTCAACAAATAAATAAACTAACATATAAAGAAAAGTAAAATGAACAAAACTGTCTAATCAGAATTTATTTATCGCTTAATGTGCAATACTTACAGCTTATTTTCTGGAGCCACAAAACAACACTGAGACAGGCAAATTTGCAGATTCGGCCATATTTAATATACAGCGTTGCCACTTAGTGTTGGTTAATTTTATGCGTTTACCACATGATACCTAAATAGATGACGTGGGAATGGTTTTCATCCATATGTCTCAAAGAGTTTTTCGTTTATCATGGTGCGCACCATTATCGAACGCGCACCAATATCCAACTCTCCCCTAATATATGGGTTGACAGAGATTAGTTTTCAAATTAATTTTGGTGAGGGTCAGTTAGTGTTAATTATTACTACTATAACAGTGTTCTATTCCTGAGCTACCTCCTGTATCCCTTCAATCCCATTGCAGGCTGCTGCCCTCACAGTCATCCAGAAGCTCTGTACCACCGTCCACCAGTAACGCAAGCAATCCGTCCACCAGTGAATATATTTCATGATAACATTGACTGACAGTTTTTTTAGCAGTCAGCAGCAGTCAGAAAGTTACGATATCGAGAGACTGTATCAGGGGCGTAGTCACCGGTGTTCCGCGTGTTCCACGGAACACGGGGCCGGTAGCTCAAGGGGCCCGGTTCGACATGTCAATTATTTTTTTTCTATTAAGTATAAAAAAATCATGTGCAGCGCCGTACACGTAATAGAAATGGAACTTCCTAAAAACTATCCCCCGGCCCCCCTCATACAACTTTAAGACAGACGAAGTACGTACCACACAAAAGAGAGACGCGCATCCATAGTGACGTCACAGGGGTATTGGCGCTTCACAATAATAGGCAATCCTCTTTGCGCTTATAATCCTTGGTTTGTTAAATCAATGTTATAGTGGCTGTCTTTCTCCGTCTTTTTACGTCTTATATTTCGTGACGCGTCTTTCAAATCATTCTCCATTGTTGTCCAAATATCAGACGGCTGCCTAAGAAGTTTCACTTCAAGAATACATTTGAAGCTAATTTATATGAAAATAAAAATCATGTGTAGCATCGTTAAGGAGTGAAACTTCTTAAAAACTATTCCCTCCCTCATACAACGTTTAGACTTCCGATTATAAGTCAAGGTAAAGCACTAAAGGTATCAGCGCTTGACAATAATAGGCAATCCTCTTTGCCCATAATCCTTGGTTTGTGTCAATCGTTCGTCGGCTGTCATTGTCATTGGCAGTCATTGGCTATCTTTCTCTGTCTCTCTACGTTATATCTTTCTTCTCTCTTGTCTATCGTGCGTGTAACGAAATTTGCCAGAACGTGACGCAACGTGGTGAAGCGTCTTTCAAATCAGTCTCCATTCTCGTCCAAATATCAGACCGCCGCCAAAGGGCCGGTTTCTCAATAGCAAGTCACCCCTGGGTTACCTAAGCATTACTTCAGGGTAAACATTGCAACTGGACACGTTTACCCTGAAAACCGACCCTAAGAAGTTTCACTTCAAAAAAAAATATATATATATCAAGATCCTGCAATCCCTGCATTGCGCTTTGTTGTGCTCAAGGTTGTTTGAGAGAAGGAGGTTGCCTGATAACTTTATGGCGTCATTTGGGGTGCCGATACATAGTGCAAATCTTCATAAGGCACCTCAGATGCGTCATCAAGTTACTCATTATCATCAGACAACCTTATATTAAATATGTTCCATACTTTAAGTTCACCCTGTATATTTGAAAAAGAACTATATATACAAACTATTATTCTCCATTTTTTTCATCTCGCAGGAGTAGGGGCCCGGTAAAATATTCGAACACGGGCCCGAAGCATCGTCACTACGCCACTGGACTGTATGTATATTTAATCTCGGGGCAATCGTGAGGCTTATGCCCGCATTCCTTTCACACAGGTTCACTCACTTGTTGCACTTTACCTACAACGAACAAAAAGATATCTTATATTACGATTTTTTCCTAACTGGAATTCTATATTACGAGAACTTTCAAGCAATAAAAGGACTAGCCGGCATTAATTTGATGCAGGTTGTTTAGTGCTAGACTTAGTTCTTTATGCTCTAGGATAAACAATAACTATCTTATTTAATAAGTATCTGAATTTTGAAGTGTCGGAAATGTTCATGAAAAAATCCGTCAAAGGAGGATTATTCATTGCAAAAATATCATCACAAAATTCTGATGAGAAGGGTCAGGAAGGAGAGTTTTTGCATTATATGAAGAAACTAAATGTAGGTAAATAGCGATAATTGCTAAAAATAAGTTGCATTTAAAAAAAAAAAACACTGCAAAATATCTGAATACTCGACAGATTCAGTTCAAGTTGATTTATCCTAGCCGGTAGTCGGTACCGAATTAAATTCCAGGAAAGGCCACTAAGATTTGTAAAGCGGACTATGGGCATCACTATCACTTGAAAATAGGTAGGTATGCTCTACTAACACTTCCCCAAAAAAATACACTAATAAGATCTTTAGATATTATTTCTTTAATAAATACTTATTTTGTAATAATACGTCATGATGGTATAAATAATAAATCGCTGTGAATATAGATAGGTTTTCTTGGCAGTTCTCATTTTCCCGGAAGTAGACCAGCCTGAGCTGCCACTCCTGTGTATCCGGCTACTACATCCAGATTTTCGCGGGCTCTATCCCTGACTCTTCTTACACCTTTTTCCTGAAAAAGAAAATAAATTCAATGATAATTTTAAACCTGTATTTTAAGTCAATAATTTCAACACGTCTCAGTGACAACTAGAAAAATGTGTGTAAAGAAATTTTTCTTTTAGAATAAAATGTAAAAAAAGTCCTCTTCTCACAATCGTTGTAACAAGGATTGCAAAAACTAAGAAGAGGACTTTTTTTGCATTTTATTTCAAGATGAACTCACATAACACTCAGCATAAGTTGTTAATTCACCATTAATTTTTCTGAGAAGTTTACTAGTGAAAAATAAAACCCATTTTACCTTTAATTTAGATTTTCAGTATATCGAACAAAAATATATGAAAAAAAATATGTACCTAACTATGTACTTACAGCTTTCTTCAATTGCTTCTTAATCCATCCAGCTTCAGCAGTACCAAAAGCCGCACACAAAGCCACAAGAACTAATAGCAAAATGGTGGAAAACTTCATTTTAAATATTCAATGGTCTTATTCACAAAGCATAAAACTGTTAATCAATGATAAAATCGCTTTGAGTTCCTTTGCTTTTATATCTCTCAAATTTGCATGTCGGTCTCATAAGCACGGTCTCACGTAGGTAGCGCGGTACTTTTTCTATTCCCAGACGTTTCAACTGAGGAGTTTTGGCTTTCCCCTTTTTTTATGTTACCGACAACCGGTATAGATATTTATATCTTATTTATTAATTTTGTTGGAAACCATTATTTTAAATTGAAGCGTTCATGCATATTTCCCAAAATTTCCCCTTCCTGCAGTCTCCCGTGATTTTTCAGTCCAACATACCCAAAGGTAGGACTATTAATAAAATTTTCAAGTTTTTTAATTTTATCAAAAATAGATAATATTTGGGTCCCAAAACACTTGAATCGATGAAAAAAAAGGATGTCTGTCGGACTGATATCGTAAAAAAAATTGTGACTTCAAAACTATGTGGTTTGGTATAGACTATTCGTGCTTTCAAGCACTAATTTTTTAAGATAGAGGCACTACGCGGTCTTGCTTTTATCAAAAAGCTTCCAAAAATTTCACAGAAACTATTGCAGTTGTTATATCAATACTAAAAGTTTGATGTTTGTAAATTACTTTTTACTTCACCCTTAGCCTTACCAAATGAACCATGATATTTTTTTCACTACAACCACCATACTTTTCTTTGTAAAAATCATTATTGCATTGATGTAAAAGTTATGTGTTGTTATGAACGGGGAAATTTTAGAGCAAAATTAAACAAATTCTCCTAGCCTTGTGTCACCCTATAAAACCTTGATAAAACCAGAAGTGGATATTCTGCTAAGTATTGTCACGAAATCATATCGGTTCTTTAGGAGCCGACGCCTCTGTACTGCTGTAGCGATTCGATCGCGAATCTTCGAGAATTCCTTTCGGGAATACACAAGAATTTACGTAAATTCTAGAAATTTCTCGATTTAATGGTTTTGAATATAAGCGCGTAGTTTGTGGGTAAGTTGTTGTCAATTTAAATGAAATGATTGTATAAATTCCAGCACAAAGCTAAAAAAGTATAAAATTTGAAAATAATAATAACGTAAATACTACTATGTAAGCTTAAAAAAGGTATAGTGCGTCATTCTTTCACGCTGAGTTTACTTTTATTCACTCTGCCATAACATGATAAGTGCCATAAATATAAAGGTGTGTTTAAGCACTAAATACGTTCTTATTAAGTCTCATTTGTATAACAGCAGTAGAAAAAATTATTTGGGGTGGACTCGGTGGACTGTCAGTCACAAAATTGCCAAGCACAAGCAACAAACTTTGTAAGTAAACAAATTCCAAAACATAATAATAGGTAAATAATAGTTATTTTTTATACAAGACGATAAAATGGTAGTTAATCGTTGACCGGAAAAATTAATTCACGAGCGGAATCGCGAGTGAATTAATTCCGGGAGACGATAATGGCATTTTATCGTCGTGTGTAAAACAAAGTTTTTTTCCAGCCTAGTTATGGACGCCTGTAGTATTAATAATATTTTGAATTTATTTGAGTCGAACACTTTTGCATAAGTAGAAATTCGTTTGACAAACTTTGGCAAATAAATAAAAAACAAAATATGTATATATTTTTGACAAAATAAACGTCTTTATCTACGCTTGCTGTTAAAGTGTCATTTAATCTACCCCAGTGGCGGATCAAAGGGGGGGGGGGCGCGCGCCCCCCCCCCCCCCCCCCTAAGGGCCTCAAAAACTACTAATTTTTCTAAAAAAAGTCATAGATAGGAAAATTTTATAAAAGAATTTTCCAATAAAAGTTGAAGGAAAAATTTTCCAATAAGATATTATAGGAAAATTGTCCAAGCTACACTATTGTTTAATTTATCGTTATGTTTTCATCAGATAAATGTCCTATATTTTTATTTGGAATAGGTATTTTTATTTGTTATTTTCGGTTTTTTGATATGTGCAGGGTTGTCCACACTTTTGATAGAAAACGTTAACTTGCGAGATACAAAAAAATCAACCCCCACTCTGAGGCTCAAATTTTATGATATTTTGAACCGTTTTGTGGTTAGAGAATCCAGAGACTTTTTCAGTTTTTTTCTATTCATTCCCGAATTCGAGATATTAACCAGAGTCCGATTGTTTTGATGGGACACCGGACACCCTATATATTATTAACTCATTGAATAGCTCTGCTTTTACTGCTTTTAATGATATAAAGTTCGATAGGTCTATCTTTTTTGTTCGAGTTTTCCCGAGGGGTTTATCACTCCCCGAAATCGTGTCACAAATTCGTTCGAAATCCCCGAAATCTTTCCGAATTCCTATCGAAATCCCCGAAATCCTTCCGAAATCCACGAAATCACTCCGAAATCCGCCTAAATCTCTCCGAAACTCCGAAATCTCTCAGAAATCATTCCGCATACCTAAAAATCCTTCGCAATTGGCCCAAAATTCGTAAATCGGTCAACGCGGACGTTTTTCAGTTTATACTAATACACTTTCGCTTATACTTATGAGATAAATAACAGTCTAAAATCAAATTGAAATATTTGTGAAATCACCTGAGATTCTCCGAAAACACCCGAAATCCTTCGAAATCACCCGAAATCCCTCAAAATCGCTCTAAATCCGAAATATTGTCACATTTTTCCCTTAGTGAATAACCTCTCGAGTTTTCCAGAAAAAAATTATATCTGTTTTGTCATAAGAAACAATGTGTTAAAAAAGAACTCTATATCCATAAGGAAAATGAGATAGGTCTCCTTCTAACACATTGTTTCTCTTGACTGAAACATCTATAATTTTTTTTATAGAAAACTGTTAGAGTTAAAAGAAAAAGTTAGGAAGGTTTCACCTCATCGCTCAAAATCGAGAAACAGCCTCTAGCGGCAAAACGGTTGAGGGCATCAAAAGGCAGGTTGCAGTGTTTGCACCAGTCAAGATATCATCAAATTTGAGCCTCAGCAGACTGGAGAGTTCATTTTTATGTATCTGGCTCAAAAATTGACGTTTCAGATCAAAAGTATCCAAATTGGACCACGTATCTACATTCTTTAACGTATAAGTAAAGTAGAAATAAATTTTCAAAAAATCATTGTTGATAATTCTTAGCCTGCGCCCCCCTGAAGAAAATCCTGGATCCGCCACTGATCTAACCTTGCGGTTAAAGTATTACTTTATCTACTATTTTAGTAAATTAAAGGCTACTTTACCAGTAGCTATGGAATTTTTTTTAAATATCTACATAGGTATATCGGTACATACCTACCTACATAAAGAAAGGAGAAACCCATAACTTCTCAGTTAAGTAAAACGTCACGTGTGATGAGCATACAAAAAGTACCGTAGAGACCCCACACACAATGCCGATAACCTATGCAAAATTGATGTACCAATGTTAGGGCATAGGCGCATGTAAATAAAAGAAAAGTTTTATCATTGATTAGCAACACTTTGTTGTGTGAGTTAGAATAAAAAGTATACAAAATGAAATTTCTTACCATTTTTCTATTAGCTCTTATAGTCTCATGCGCTGCTTTCGGTACTGCTGAAGCTAGATGGGTTTAAGAAGCAATTGAAGAAAGCGGTGAGTAATTCCAATATTGTCACATATTGTTTTAAAATTATTTAATTTATGTACGAAAAACGGAAAGACGTAAACTAAATATATATAATAGTATTACATGCGGAGGTGGAAAGTGTTTCATTTTTGTCGAGAGATACTATACCTCGGCGCTTCGCACCTCGGTCAACCGATCCTCGAGACAATAATGTGAAAACTATCCACCGAATTATGTAAACTATTTTATTTTGAAATATTAATTATTGGAAAAAATAAGGTAAAAATATGATAAAAATGGAACTTCGACTGACACTCTGACACCAACATTGACATCTTATAAAATTTCAACAATATCGGGTTTTCAAAAAAAAAAACAATCAAAGATTGCTATAGTTTTTTAAACGTATGTCTTAGCAATATTTTTCTTTAATTTTGTCAATGAACTTTGGTGTCAAAATTTTATGTCAAAAATCCTGACCAATAAAGAAACAATAATACGACGTACGTTTTCGTAACCAAAGCAATCTTTGATTGGTTTTTTTTTGAAGACCCGATATAAACACATGTGACATCTAGGTACTTCTAAATACAAACATTGCACCTGGATTTGTGTTTGGTTGTGAAAGAACAATTTATCAGGGCCGAAAGTGAGTTCTCCAGGCAGGAAGTGACAGGAGAACAGTCACTTTCGGCCTGCTTTAATGTTAACAAAAGTAAAGTGACATTTTCGAACCTTCAAACTAGTAAGGAATGGGAAAATTACATATATGGTTCAAAATAATAACTATTTAGGTATAGGTATCAAGCGAGGAACATAGTGCTTTTCCTTTGGCGGTCGTTTGAATTCACCTCGTAATTTAAGTCGTGAAGTTTTTCATTTCATCTACAGGGTGTCCCACGGTGGATGGCGTATTAGACGTTTATGGAGAACTAAAAAGCGGATCATATTGAAAATTTGGCAACCGGGATAAACGACCATAATCTACACTTTAAAAATATTTTTGTTTATGCGGTGTTGCCGCTTCTACTCTTAATCAGTGGCAACATCGCTATTTTAAATGGAACACCCTGTATGTGATTGCATATTTGGATTCTACGTAAAATTCTGAACAGATTGCATGTGATATACCCTATACCTAAGTTCAACTATTTCAGAAATATTGACAGTTGAAAATTGAGTTTTTGCAACTTTGACAGGTTGTAAAACCTAAACGGTTAATTTTAGAGGAACACCGATTTAACATTCCTATCTTAGATTTTCATAAACTATCATTTGACACCAACTCTAACCGGAGATTAAATTTAATTGGAATTTTTAATCATGGATTAAATTCAAAGTTGGTGTCAAATTATAGTTTATAAAAATCTAAGATAGGAATGTAAAATAAAATTAACCGTTCATGTTTTACAGCCTGTCAAAGTTGCAAAAAGTCAATTTTGAACTGTCATTATTTACAAAACAGTTGAACTTAGGTATAGGGTATATAACATGAAATCTGCTCAGAATTTTACGTAGAATCGAAATATGCAATCACATACAGGGTGTTCCATTTAAAATAGCGATGTTGCCACTAGTTTAGAGTAGAAGCGGCAACACCGCATAAACGAAAATATTTTTGAAGTGTAGATTATGGTCGTTTATCCCGGTTGCCAAATTTTCAAAATGATCCGCTTTTTAGTTCTCCATAAACGTCTAATACGCCATCCACCTTGGGACACCCTGTATTATACGTATTGCTTTTTTTTTTTTAAATATATATAACTTTCCATAAAGTCTTTTCCTACAAAATCAAATAGAAGGAGAAGGATCTTAGAAACTTGGGAAGAAAAATTTTGAGCTCGCTCTCTCTCTGGGAAGAGAGGAGAACATGTTTCTTCTCCGGGAGGAATATAGGCTATTTTCCCCACTCGTCTAAGGGTAGAAAATTACGTTTTCTAGTGAAGTAGAAGAAAAAATATATTTTACCTACGAGCGTGCGGTAAAGTGCACTTTACCGCACGTATTTGCAAATGGAAAGCATTACTTTACCGCACACTATGCGGTAAAGTGCACTTTACCGCATAGTGTGACTCATAATGAGACTCATAACGCAATTAGTGGTGTTATGGACTAGGTTATGAATTCATAACACAACGAGTAGTGTTATATAGACTAGGTTATGAATCCACAACACAACTATTTTTGGTGATTTGACAAAATTGTCAACGTTAAACCTGTAAAGGTAAAATGAAGATAGATAACTACTAATAAACGCAAATAATTGAAAAAACCTTCTTATTTTTCGCTTTGTAGAAAAACTCGGTCTACGACCTCGTCGTTCTAATCTTTCACACTTGTTATTGTAATCATGTTCATAAACGCACTTGTAATGTAAATAACTATTATTTTCTTCAGGAAAAAGGATGAGTAAGAAAAGTCAGGGATAGAGCGCGTGAAAATCTGGATGTAGTATAGCTGGATATACAGTTGTTGCTCAGACTGGTCTGCTTCCGGGAAAATGAAAACTGCCAAGAAAACCCATTAGAGTATTTATTATTTAGAACACCATAATAATATGTATATGAATCGAAAATTTTTTGAATGATATATTTTTTGTATAACACATAGGTATAGGCATAAGTATTCATTAAACCTGGCTGTGTCTTTATGCTCAGCGACGTCGAAAATTTGATTTAGGCACAAATTATGACAACAAATTATCTATTATTGTCTTCAAAATAAGGTAGATAACTTTCAGATTCTCTATTAGAAATAAAACAACTGTTTTAATGTAGACGTGTATTCTAACAAAATAAATTAACCTGTTGGATAGTAACTAAATTTGAAAATGACCATCACCGCAGAGTCCTTGCATAGCAGTCGGAAGGACAATGGTAAGGATGCAGACCCATATGATGAATAGCTGACCCCATGAGATAAAATCGCTTTAAGCCAGGTGTGTGAAGCTACCTTATGATTTAGATTTTAGAAAACTTTGAAAAATCATAAAAAAATTTCTATTATAGATAGAATGCGGAAATTTTCAACGATTCTTTTCTCCGTGGAGGACTTCCAAAAATAAAATCGTGTTAAGCAATGTGGGGTGAATTCTTCAACTTTTCAAT